TTGTTCCGCAGAAATATATATGGTGAAATGTGCGTCACCAGTGCTTTTAATATCCGAGGAACAATTTCACCTACGTCGCCAATGGTGGCTTTGACCTTGTCACCGCCTAATTACGCCCTTTCGAATCCCTAAGGAGTTAAACAACGAGAAGGACGTAAAAACGAAAGCCACCCGCAGGACAGTTTATTGTGTACAAAACCCGGAATCGCTGTCTCGGGTGGCATTTGCCGCTGGCGTATAACCAGCGCACTGAATGTTCTCACCTCGGGGAAGCTCGACAATGGAGTGGACCAACAGTGTTTTTGCACTCGGTGTGCAGTTCACTGTCTGTGATGCGACAGTGGCTTATAAGTGATGGTCAAGCGCCTTCGCTTGTGTCATTATTGAGTACGTTGAAATAGGGTCACCTGTCGTGGCCAACCTAAGTGGCCCTTTAGGAACTGCGACTTGTTGGGCACGCGCGTGGGCTCGCGTGTGTCATAGTGTGGCGGTGATGCTTAGCGAAGACATACGACCTTGAAGGCAGTCCGCATTGACAAAGGAAACATTGTGGCAGCCGATCACAGGCGGGAAGCTTCAGGAAGGTTGACATTTGGATAGGCTAGATTACAAAGAGCAAAAAATGTTTATGTGATCCTAATAACCTGCAACATACCATCTTACGACTCTTCTACCTTCTGTGTATGACCGCCCGTAGTGTCGGGACATCATGACACGATGCACGCTTCAAGCACCGGTTAAGGTCACGGACACGCGTGAACCCATTTCCTTGTTCTGACTGGTCAACCTTCACCCCTCTCTTTGTTCCGATCGGCTACTTCCCAACCTATGAAGTTTAAGCCCCACTTTAAATCCCTGTTTGTTAACATGACTCGTCACTTGAACTGTGCTCTTATCCTTAGTACACGTCCTACATAAGGACAGTCCTCTGTTTTGCCTGCATGACATTCTACCTAGAGGCAGCCTTCTGTTTTACATACATTACATTCGTCCTGTCTACAAACTGCCTTCCGTTTTCGATGCAAAGCACTAACCTGCAAATTGCATACGCAGACGTCTAATACGATAACTGTGAAAAGGGAATAGGATTGGCGTGCGTTACACATCAGTTTGTCGCCTGATCGGCATGCATAACTAATCATGTGTGTACGTCCCATAAATAGGAAATTCGCATGTAGCTTTACCTGTGTAAAAGTATCCCGCGTCTACTGTAGGCTACCTCTTCTTATATTCCATGAACAATTCTTTTTGCGGCTGTCTATCAGAAGAAAAATAACTTATATTGGTAAAAAGGAGCCTGAAAATATGCAAGTATTTTTTTCATTTCGAACAAACTTTATATCTAAAGACGGTTAGTGGTATGATCATAGTAGTGAGCTACTGCAGTTCTTATGACAATCCGACAGGGTCGGATTTTCTCCCTATTGCTTTGAACATCGTCGCAGTAGCGACGTGATTGTGCGACTAGCGCAGGCCGTGGCCATGTACGCAGGAACTTAGGAGCACGAGAAGATTGCTGCATGCCACGAGACCATGTGACTACCGGTTATGTTATCGCAGCGGCAGCGTAATCGTAGAAATAGCCGACAAGTTTTACTACAGCAAGGCAGAGGGAAAAAGCATAGAAAACCCTCTTAATTACCTCGCAATCTTCAGTGGTTAATCAGAGGCCAGTGCCGAAAAAGGGTCTGCTGTCCGCTCGCGACATCGCCGAGCACACAAAAGCTCGCGCCAAAGACTTACAGAATATGCATGTCAGAAAGTCAAAGTGAATAAAAGCGTATATGGTGATGTACGCCACGGTAGGATGCATGTCAAAGGGTTGAGCGAGGCTAGAAGTGGCCAACTGTCGAGAAAATGAATTGCTAACTTTAAGGGCTTGATGGGGAAACATGTCAGTGCTTCGTGCACGTGGTACTTTCTGACAATAACGGTGCTCAGGTAGAGTTGTAATTCATTTTCCGGATTTCCAGGAAAGTCAGTGTGCATTTTAATCATTGGCACCTTGGCTCTTGCAAAACCTTAGTGTCAGTACCTATGGCGAGATCATCAAAGATCCCGCCTCTTGAAATTGGCTAAGTAGGGAGGTAAAACTGCTGTCCACGGGCCTACATCACCTTTTCCTTCTGGTACAAATGACAGGTTTTTACTCAAGGTGAGACTCCTACTCCTCCCAGCTGCAAGGTGTTAGGTGCTTCCTAAGCGAGTAAACCCAATTTTCCCCAGTTTTCTCATGATGGTATCTCCTAACATGGATGCGTCTTTTGTGCTCATAGCTTAGTTCTATATTCTTTTAAAAAACACACAACCAAATCGTGATATACTATTACTTATTCACATAAGGAACAGACTCCTAAGGGCTACAATTTGGACTGCTTGTTTAAGGATCTTGTCATGTAAGCATTTTATTGCGACACCAGAGGTAATACTAATGAGCAGAGGAGAACTCAGAGACAAGCCTCATTTTTCCCTGACATAAACATGTAGGCAATAGACTACCGTCATCCTCTAGGTGCTCCTCTGCGTGAACTCAGCGCCGAGGCTTCAGACATCTACATTAGAACCGGATATCCTGGACACTAAACATAAGAAATAATTATATTTTAGCCATTGACACTCTTGCCCTTGGCAAGTATTAGTTGAAGTACCCTGTGTTGAAATAAGCAAGGAACCTACTCCTTGCAAGGGGTTAGTTATGAAGGCGAGATCGTTCTGCACAGGTCCACATCACTTTCGTTTTCTGATGCAAAACGATACGAGACTTGTCCTCTATCGATCCGACTGCCAAAGGCGGTGCATGGAAGGTGAGTTTCTTACTTATCGCAAATGTAATGAAATGGGTGATTCGTAATCGAATCAGTTTAGAGATCAATGTGGTGATCATATATCTACGTAATAAATACGGCTATTAAATAGGTCGGCAAACGGGAAAGTATCGTTTATTATTCAGAAAAGAAACAGTTTCCTAAGCACTAACATTGTGAAATCCTGTTTAACGGTCTCGTCATTTGGGTATTATATCGCCTAACTAGAGGTAATATTAACGAACAGAGAAGAGACTCCAGAGTCTCGTATAGTTATTCCACGGAGATTAGCCTGAATTTAAAAGTGTTTCGTAATCTGCTTAGTGCTGTGCTATGTCCAATCGGCATAAATACTTCGAAAAGCTACATGAAAATCGGCTGACAATGTGAAGCACACAGAAATCAGCATGAAGAATGCTTAGCATGGCAAAATATCGCTGGACATATGAACTATAATTTCTGCTTACTGTGGCAACACTTATTTTACCTTTCACGACGACACGTCAAAAGTTCAGGTTCTGTGGCTGCCTTTGTGTTTAATTCATTTTCCCCTCTTTCCCGTACTAGCGCAGCTTTCGGAACATTATCATCTTGTTTATTAGAATACGACAAGTAAACTTGGTCTGACGTGCTATATCCAGTTTATAGTGAATTTTTCTCATCATGATAATGGTTGGGCTACTGATAATTGCAATCATGTTTTGTGTGCACAATACGCTCTGAAGAAATAATTGAGGAATTCTCGAACATTCAATATGCTGAATAATATGAGCTCACACTTTGTGATAGGTTTCAGAACACACAGAGTATGGGTGAGGCATTCTTATGTAGCATTATCTTAAGAACTATAAACGCTGTAGTGAATGAAGGTATGTTAAAGTGTTGACATTTATTCAGAACATTAATTCAGTCTCAGAACACCATCAAAACAGTATTTAGAAGTGGGTTGCGCGGGTTACTTCTCGTAACTTTTACCTCTGGCATAATTTGCTTTCTAACCAACACAAGTAAGCAACTCAAGTTTGCAAAAGTAAGAATTCAGGGATAAGAATCACAGATCATGTTAGTGCTCACTGGATTAATCTTGTGTGTTCGCTCACATATCGGGGTGCTGGGCCGGCTCTCCTTTGTCAGATTGTAAACAAACTACCTAACTAAATTAAGTAGCAACGCAAATAATGAATACAGAAATTATTTATCCCTGAGTGATATGGCCCAGCACATAGATTAGCTAGGTTTGAAGAGGAGGCGTATAACCGCAACCAAAAATACACTCAATTAAAACACTGTTGATACTAAAATGCCTCCCTACACAAAAGCTCATTTTCCGGGAAAAGCAGACGGTTAATAGTAAAGTTATGTCTGTTTGCGTTAACGGGTGAACCGACAAGGTAAGTCAACACTTGATCTTGATTGAAACGTGAGGCATATTTGGACCAAAGTTTGAACCCCCGGTTTTAAATTCAAAAGGTCAGGGATCCCATAGGGAGAAAGAGGGAAGAAATACATTTTGTTCACAACTTGAGCAGTAGTTACAAATTTAAGCATCAGTTATAGGACGCGGACGGTTGACACCGTTAAGAAACTCGGATGGAAGGCGAAACTGTAGATGCGAGCAAAAGTTCTGTTGCAGCACTGCAAGGAGGCCTAAGAGATATATAAAAATATTGTTTATTATGCGATAACGCCTTTTCCGTTTAAACAGGATAAGACAGAGGGAGTGGAAGAAGAGAGTGGTTGCCGGGGTTCACATAGCCAGGGAGTACTCGAGTAGGCTGTTGTAGGAGGTATCGTCGGCGGCGTATTTAGCATAGACGGTCAGTTTTTGCTTAGTGCCCCAGTGTTCTTTCATGTGTACTTTGCCCTTCCACCGGTCACCCTCGGAGTCCAATTGGGTCCATTTATCACCCACGACCACGGCTACGGCAGTGACGTTTGGTACACGGACGTTGAATGACTGACTACGTGGGGGTTCACGGCTCAACCTGCCATTGTCATCCAGACCAAGTATGCCATCGGTCGGAGTCTTTAGGTAGCAACCGCGGCACCAGTGATCAAACTGTTTCGGAAACGGCATCACCTGACCGTGCAACCAATGGCAGTTGGAGGCCTCAACCAGATAGTTGTACACGTTGGGCAGATAATTGCTGCGGTCATTAACAGGCATGGCGTAGAGCTGCAGCATGAAAAATCCGGGTTTTGGAAATCGGAGGAGAAAGAAGACCTCGCTCCCCTTCGTCTGCTGGAGAATCTGCAAGGAAACGCGCCTTTAGACAGAGGAGACAGGTAGACAACCAATCGTACATAGGAAAGGAAAATTTAAAACGTTCTATATATGGCACTTAGAAATTAATGAAAATTGTTAATCTGTTTGGATGAAGGCGTCTTCTTATCTTAAAAAACGTGCAAGCGCTCCTAAAACTGCATTGTGGACATTAAATAGTCAGGTTAATGTTAGCTTGGATAACGGACAGGAGATAGAAATCGCTAAAAGCAATAGATGCCTATCTGATTCAGCTGAACCGATTTTCGGAAATATATTTTCAATTGGCTAAAGTTGTTTAGGTTAGCTTGCAATATTTATTATCCTGCAGCGTAATATCATTGTATCTCAGTTTTGGAAGAATGGAGGCTTTGAATGCATTTATTTTCTCTCGTCTGTAATAACTAAGATTGAGGAAAGGGGCTAAATAGGCAGCATTACTTGATCTGATGTTTTTTCCATTTTTTATAAATGTGACCATAGTTTGCAGACAATATTTATAAAAAGATACTTGCTATTGTCTTCTGGGAGAAATTGACGCCTTAAAATTTCTACCCGAAGGTGTGTATTTGGCTTTCTAAAAAGAACATGGTATTTTATTTGTTTTGGTATTGATAATCATTAATTATGTGAAACAGTGCACATATATTACGTGATTTTATGTGTGCTATGTAGTACCTTCTCAATGCTATAGCCTAATAAACATATAGTTTTTTATAGCCTCAAAGTACTTAGCTTGCAGCCTGATAATCCTAAACGCAAATACAACGGCAGTTAGGGTCAAAATATACGGAAACTGAAAAAAAAATATTTTAGAAATTTTGTATATCCTTTTTTTGAATATAAACATTAAATAAGTGATCATTTATCATGCTATTTCAATGGACAATATTTTTTTAAAGCATATTGGAGTCTGTAACGTAATTCAAGTCAATGGAAAAAATGCTTGCTTTAAATCTAGACTTTTTATCAAATTTATGTTTTGCGTGTGGCCAATGATTAATTCATTCAAAAGCCGGCACTCTTGAGTCTTTTAAATAAAGTGGAATTATACTGCATAATGATTAAAATTAAAAGCCAGTTAAATAATCATGCCTAATCAGAAACTTATAGCCGAATTTCGGTTAGCATTTCACGGAATTGGTCCTGAAATGAATGCGATGGAAGACTACCACAATTAACAATAAGCTAATTTCAAAGGGACGTGTTCAATAGAATGCCGGCCGGAAGCGGAGCACCCATTTGATATAACTGTCGGATTCAGTGCTACATTTCCCGTGCCACTGTTACCATAACCGCAGGAAGCGGATGTGGCTATACAAAGAACTATCAGTATATTTGATGTTAGCACAGTGTGGAAGAAGGGTGCTCACCATGTTGGAGCAGTCTTCGGAAACATCATTTGTGGCAAAGGTAAGTTTTGTGCGCCATTTTAGCGGTAGATTCTGCTGGTAGGCCAAACGAACGGAGAGCTCCCCGCTGTCCGCTCTGATGAAGGGATCCACATGGCTCAATGTGGAAAGGCCCAACTCCGCAAATTTTGGAACCGGCCCCAAATAGTTCGATGACAGGCGGGGCAGGCCACGAACCAGAGAGGCGTGATCCGCGGAAAGCAGGTACCGCCATACCTAAGTGAGACAAGAAGAGGTATTTATATTAAAGTAAAGAAACTTCTGTGCCAAACTTGAGTTATTAACATCCACTTCTTATAGAAACTTCGGTGATCATTTGTATTTGTGAAGGCCGTCAAACCAGAACAAATCATCCCATCGTGTTGTGATTCGCCCACTAAGGCCGCTAGTGAAAAATAGGTGACTCCTTCATTTTCTACCTACGAATTTGTGCTCACATGAGATAAGGACAAAGGCAGTTCGATCACCACGGAAGTAGGGACGTTCTAACAGATCTTGGGAAGTTCAGCTTTTTAATCTCCGGAGAAATTAATTTCTGATCGCGGTATATAT